CCCCAAAACCCCAAAACCCCAAAACCCCTCTTATCATAGTTTAAGCTTTACGACAGAAATTATTTAATAAATCATTAAAAAATCTTAAATCTAATGGAGAACTCTAAAAAATCCTTAAGTGACAGTATTAATAGAAGCTAATAAAATCTCGAGAGATAATATCAAACTAAAAATCTAAATTAAACTCAAGTAATTTGATTTGCAATAAATTGTGATCTAGAAGGAGTTAGTTGATGCGATTGAATGAAGAGATAAGGAAAAATTTATTTAACTAGGGGGAGCGACAGGTGCTGATTTAAATTTTGAGATGGCATCTGATGGAGTATTTCCACTATTGGTTGCCTCTGCTAATGGAGAGTAATTCTTAAAATCCTAATAATGATTTAGTTTAGAGCTAGTCAATCTAATGCTTACTAATTAAAGGATAGATATTAATAGAAGAGATACTTTTGGAGTAAATTCATTTTGGATAGCTTCATTTTATGGACATGCTGCAGTAATGAAACGTTTGATGGAAAAAGGTGTAGATATTTATAGTAGAAATCACAATGGTTCGAATGCACTTCATATTGCTGTGAAAAAAAATAACCTAAATATTGTTTTGGAGCTCCTCAAAATTTAATACCCTCTCGATCATGTTAAAAATAATGGTATAACAGCAGCTGGAATAGCAGCTTATAAAGGACATATCAAACTTCTTGATTTGCTAACTCAAGCTGGAGCTGATATTACATTATCATCTAAAGTAGGTATTAGCCCTCTTTACCTAGCAATAAAGTCAAATTAAATTTCATGTGCTTAGTACTTGATTGAATGAAAGGTCCCAGTCTATTATAATGATCCAGTAAAAACAGACTCGTCTCCTGTGTTTTTTGCGATAAAGTGTGGAAATCTAAAAATACTTGAGATGATGCTCGATACTGGATTTGACCTTACACACTGTAAAAATTCCTAAGGCTATTCACTAATAACTTATTCTTCATCCTTAAATTAGCATGATATACTTAATCATCTATCTTTAAGAGGGCATGATCTAAATTAGATTGATCCATAAAATGAAACACCACTATCTCGTTATGTCATGTTTAACAACTTTGATTTGGCTAAAAAGCTAATATCTAGAGGTGCAAAACTTGATTTCTGTAACAAAGAGGGCAAAACTGTGATAGTTCAAGCAACTTAATAAATGAGAATGGAAGCTATTCAATTTTTAATATAATAAGGGGCCAACCCTCACATTATGGATTTTCAAGGCAATGACGCTTGTGATTATGCTAGAATTAATTCTATCGGAAGCATTCCAGAGTTAAATAATTGTGATCCAAAGTAAAGAATGAGATCTGCAGTTCCATAAGATACAGATGGAACTCACGCGCTCAGTGAAGCCTATAATAGAGTTAATGAAAAATACAATTAAATTGCCTAAAAAAATCTAATCAAACCTTAATCAACATTGAGTGATGTCAATCCGTATTTAAAGAATAGTGTATAAATGAGGGAAAAAAGTAATTCTCCGATAATAAAGGATTAGCCTGTTTAAAAATCAGTTTATACAGACAATTCGATTTAATAAATATTGCATTCAGTTTCACCTGTTCAAAGTCTTAATCTCAAAAGATAAATTATTTAGCAATAAACTCAGAATGCACAACAATAAAGATAACAGGTGCCCTTATTCCTTCGGGAAGATTTTGTTTACGGAGAAGATACTGTACCACCAGAGCCAAATTTTATAAATCCTCTTCAATATGTATATGATAAATCAAAAGTAAACAAGGAAGAACTAAAAAAATTAGATGAGTAAATAGCTAAAATGGATTTCGAGACTTAGGTGATAAATAATCTGAATAGTAATCTATTGGAAAATGTGAATAACGACATAAATAGGAAATCTATTAACAATACAGAACTTTGACGAAGAAGAGAACGAGAAAGATAAATGATTGATGTTAAAAGAAATCAAATGAAGGAAGATTTAATATCAGAAATCAGTAGATAAGAAATAAAATTATTCTCATAGAATAATCCTTATGAAAAGTAATAATTTGAAGCTGACTTGGATTATAAATAAAAAGTTGTTGAACAAGAGAATAAGATATAAAGTATACATTAAGAAAGTGATTAATTGAAAAGTAAGTTGAGAGAAAGCTTTTATAACATGAATACAAAGCTTGAAAAAATAAATAGGAATCTTGCTTAGTCGAAAAATCCTTATGAAACTAAAACATCGTTTCATAATAATTTGCCACTAGGTTTGACAAATCAAATGACCTCAATATTTGAAAATTAAACAAATTAGTTCGGACTACAGAGTGTAGCTTTGGGTCATTTGTAAAATCTAAAAGAATCAGTTAATACTTAAAACCAATAGAAACTCATGAAATAGGACTTTGAAGGCATCTATAGAATGAAAAAATAATAAGAGTAATTGGAATTAGAGCTTGACATCAAAAAAAGAGAAAGAGATAGAAAGCTATAAGTATAGGAATTTGAAAATGTTACGAATAGAGCAGGATTGAAGCTTGAAGAACTAAGAAGAAACATCTAAGCAGAAATTTAAAAGTCTTAATAGAAGTAGTAAATATCAAGAAATGATGAAAAGCTCATGCTCTATAATTCAACAATCGCTAGAGAACTCAGAACTACTGAAATGCAAAATCTAAGATCAAATATGGTTTAGTAGAGGAAGCATTCCTATATAAATGGCCCTAATGGTGGTTCTAATCAATCAAATTTATTTACCTCTGGAAGATTATCAACCTTTGATAGAGCAACTAACCAAACGATCAATGTCGATTATAATCCTTATTAATCAGATGTATTACACCGATTATAAAATTTATCTTCAGGTAAAAATAAAAAGCTTAACACTTCTGATACAGTAGAGTATAGTTATACAGATAAATTAGTATTGCCTAAAGTTAATTTTGTAGACACAAGATCCCATTCCACAATAAAATCATATGGCAAAAAAGATCATCTTAAACCTTAATCTTATATGAATAATTACGATTCCACATAGCCAGTATTAATAAAGAATTCAAGTTCTTAAAAATCAATTACATATGATCCTTATACATCCAGCAAAATGAGTAGTTTGATTGATAGACTAAATGTTTCTTCTTTAAGAGAGCTGGATAAATAAAATATTGCTGAGGAAAAAAAGGAAGAAGCTACATAATACTATGAACCTTATCAACCACCAGACCAAAGCAGACAAGATATATTGACTGAGTAGTAGAGATAGTACCTTGAAAATTAGAAAAATAAGTTGGATTATTAAATGTATCTGAATCAGCAATAAACAAATGATTTAGTTTACTAAATCAAGGATAAATTAGATAGGATAGGAGTCTCAGGCTAAAAGAGAAGTCTCAGTCAGCCTAAATATAACTATTCTTCTATGCTAAAAGCAGTTGGAAAGCATACAGCGTAAAATCTGTTAGCTCGTAACAATGATAGAAACTAAACAATAGTCAAACCAATTGTGGGAGCGAATCCTTAATCTGGATTCAGATTAGCTAGTGATATAAGAGCGTAAGAAAAAATCTAAACTTAATTAAGTAGAAATCACTCTAACGCATCTATAGGCTCAAGAACTAAAAGAAGCAATCATTCATCACCAAATGGTAGATTGATGACGATGAAGGAGATTCAATTAGGGTTAAATGGCAATGGAGACGAAAATAGAAGTTCAAATTTTAGATCTTAATACCTAAGATGATTGATCTATTAAACTTAATTTCATGAATTCTGTAATTTTCAAGCATAATTTCTCTAGGGGTTTTGGGGTTTTGGGG